TTATGCCGACCTCGACAGAGTGCTAACCTCTGTCCCCAGAGAAGATAAGGTTGTGCTCCGTGGTGACTTAAGTGCCAGAGTTGGCAAAGATGCTGACATTTGGCAGGGAACCATAGGGAGAAAATAATGGACTAGGCAAGTATAATCGCAACGGCCTACTCCTCTTCAGCAAGTGTGCTGCACACAACCTCGCTACCACCAATACCTTGGTTAGGCAGGCTGACAAGTTCAAGGGTTCGTGGCAACACGCCCGATCCAAACACTGACATCTCATTGACTACATCACTGTTAGAGAAAGAGGTCGCCGAGATGTCCTCATCACCCGTGCCATCAGTGGCTCGTCAGAGCCAAGCTCTCACTTCACGTCACCCCAAAATGGCGAAGGCAGCAAGCCTCCGGAAGAGGTTTTCACACTAAGCATCTGGAGGATCCAGTGGTAGTACATACTTTCAGAGAGCAGCTCGAACATGGGCTGATAAACAACCCAACAACAAACAACCCTAATCCCAGTGCCGAATGGGATATTCTTGATACTATCATGCCAAATATCTGCAAAGACCCTCACAGCCAGATCGAAAGAATACACCAGAACTTGTTTGATAAAAATGACCCGGAAATTAATGTACTTGTCGATAACAAACGTGTTGCTTTAACTGACTGGCAGAACCACCTTCAGTCTCGGACCAAAGCTGATACCTTCTGCAAGAACAAAGTGGTGGCCCAGAGTGAACTTCACAAACTAAAGAACGACTGATATAAAAATAAAGAATTTGAAACACAAAAACTTGCATATCAACACAAGATGCACTAATTTTTCAATTTCACTAAAATATTTTATGGTCAAATCACTCATGGCGCAGCACCCATCCCTCATCCAACGGTAACTCCCTAATTAAAGACGAAGAAGGAAGCCTTCAGCACTGGAAAGAGCACTACCATTTGCTGCTCAATCAAAACACCGATGTGGATGTCCTGACTACCCAGCAGGTCCCTCAGCATTCAGAGCTGACCCACCTCGGCTATCCTCCATCCCTGGATGAGGTAGCTACTGCCATCAAACAGATGAAAAATAACAAAGCCTCAGGGCCTGATGGAATCCCAGCCGAGGTGTATAAAGCAGGAGGACCTCTGCTTACTATCCGTCCCCACTCTCTCTTGGAGAATATATGGGAAAAAGAGGAAATCCCCCAAGCTCTTAAAGAAGTGCGCCTCTCTCTCTCTCTCTCTCTCTCTCTCTCTCTCTCTCTCTCTCTCTCTCTCTCTCTCTCTCTCTCTCTCTCTCTCTCTCTCTCTATATATATATATAATAAAGAAGTATGTCTGTGCGTTTGTTTGTGTGTGTGTGTGTGTCCGCACGAGAATCTCGGAAACTACTTTACCGATCTGTAGTGATGAAGGATGGTGTTATATGTAGTGATGATGGATGGTGCTATATGTAGGGATGATGGATGATGACGTTATATGTAGTGATGATGGATGTTGTTAAATGTAGTGATGATGGGTGGTGTTATATGTAGTGATGATGGGTGGTGTTATATGTAGTGTTGATGGATGGTGTTATATGTAGTGATGATGGGTGGTGTTATATGTAGTGTTGATGGATGGTGTTATATGTAGTGATGATGGATGATGTTATATGTAATGATGATGGGTGGTGTTATATGTAATGATGATGGATGAGGTTATATGTTATATAATACCATCCATCATCACTACAGATCGGTAAAGTAGTTTCCGAGATTCTCGTGCGGACACACACACACACACACTTCTTTAGTTATATATATATATATATATATATATATATATATATATATATATATATATATATATATATATATATATATATATATATATATATATATTACGGTGCCTTTCGTTCCTATATTATTTTGCCACAAGATTAAAATATATCTGACAAAGTATATTATTATCATGAAATATATTTCGTTGTTGAGGTACATGGGAGGAGGAAGAGGATAGAAGTAAGGAATGATTAGGAAGATAAAGAGGAGCGAAGGAAGGAATGAGTGGTAGGAGAAAGAAGAAAGAGAAAGGAATGGGAAGAAGTGAAAAATAAGTAATGATGGTTGAGATTTTGTCTCCACCTGGAAGTACTGATCACTGTAGGACGGTCTCCACCCACTCACTGGGGAGGTCGTCCGGTTCTACCCATCGTCTGGGAGTTCCCTGCAGCAGGGAAGCTCCTCAGACAGCCGGCGGTCCTCGACTACGACGCCAGGAGCCTCCTCCTGGTCGTGAGGGACCTCCCTGCTTCACCTCGGCAGGGACCTCCTGCTGCACCTCGGCAGGGACCTCCTGCTGCACCTGAGCATTGCCCCGGGATTTCGCGACCTTATACTCGATAAGTAAGCACATGGTCATGAAGGTGACGATGGCCAAACATTTCGCTTCAAAGGATGGCCATAAGGGCTCCTCCTCCCGGGGAACCCGCCCGTGCTTCAGAATCTCCTCCCGGATCCCCTCTATGGTTGACAGGTGTTTTAACCCTAACGTTAGCGAGCCAATGAATTTTAGTTTAACAAATTTATTGGCAGAGCTTGTAGTACAGTTTGCCTATTCTGAGTAATTCAGTCAGGTCTTGACACTGAGGGTGGTATCACTTCTCACTGCCACGCAGGACAGAGGTTCATACACAAAGAAATACATCATATTCATTAACAGCTATAAATGTATAGAGGTCAGATTCATATGGGTAATGTCACTGTTCACTGCTATGCAGGACAGAGGTTCATACACAAAGAAATACATCATATTCATTAACAGCTATAAATGTATAGAGGTCAGATTCATATGGGTAATGTCACTGTTCACTGCCATGCAGGACAGAGGTTCATACACAAAGAAATACATCATATTCATTAACAGCTATAAATGTATAGAGGTCAGATTCATATGGGGAATGTCACTGTTCACTGCCATGCAGGACAGAGGTTCGTACACAAAGAGATGCATCATACTCATTGACAGTACATATACATATATGTACACACACACATACACATACATATACACATATACATGCACATATACATGTACATATATATACACATATGCACACACACACACATACATACATACATATACGTCGGTCAGATTCATGTGGGTAATGTCACTCTTCACTGCCACACAGGACAGAAGTTCGTACACAAAGAACGCATCATATTCATTGACACTATATATAGGTCATATTCATGTGGGTAATGCCACTGTTCACTGCCATGCAGGACAGAGGTTCGTACACAAAGAAGGAAATACATCATATTCATTAGCAGTATATATAGGTCAGTGGGTCACATACATTGGAGTCATATTCTAATTGAAGACTAATCAGTGTGGGCTAGCAAATTTGGGATAAACAGCAAGAATGTCCTCAAGCACACCTGATTCAATGAAGTATTCACATAGTTCAAGCTACAATAAGTGAGGTGGCCTGAAGTCTTTGACAGTGTCACATTCAAGTGTTTGCTTTAAAGGTTTATCACAAAGTTTACATGCCGAGTGTTCCGGTACGGGTACAGCGTTACTAACTTGCCAGATGTGTCTGTATCCTAGCCTAATTCTGGCCACGACTACATGACATTGTCTGGTTCTGTCCTTATGCTGGCCATACCGGTACCTCTTGTCACAAAATTTGTCATATTTACTAATGCTACAACTGTCAGGTCTCTCTGCATTTCTCACTTCTTCTAGATCAGAGTTCATGATTCTGACTTGAATGTTTTTAATTACAGCATTGGACAGGCCAAGGTCACGGTCAACATTTTCTTTCTTACATGCCTCATTGGCCAGTCTATCAGCACGGTCATGATACCTCATTCCAACATGGGACGGAATCCACACAAATTCGATACGAAAGTTGTTCTCATTGGCAGTTATAACATTCCTTTTGATATCACATTCAACTTTAGACATAGAGCCTGACGGGCTGTTCATTGATTTCAAAGCACTTTGAGAGTCACAGAATATCACCCCACCTCCATTTTCTTTGAGGTAGTCTGTGGCTAAGTAGATTCCAGTTAGTTCAGTTTGTGTTGTACTGGCCCAGTTGTTCAGCCTTTGCTTGTTTGACACTATCATCTCTTTTTCCTTATATATTACAATTGCACAGCCTGTTCTACCTGTGTTTGTCTGCACAGAACCATCAGTAAAAGCAAAACATTCACTTGATTTAATACTCTCTATGTGTCTGTTAATAGTTTCTAGTGTGACACATCTCACCACATCGGTGTTTAACATTTGCTTACTACCAACAGGAGTGTAATTAATAGGAACTGATATGTCCAGCCAAGGAGGAATGGCATTAATAGGTTCGTCTGGGGTGATTGGGACATTCAGTTTCAAGAGATCTGCAACACTTTTATGAAGCCACGCCCCAAAGAGAGTCTTTTGTGGAAGGTTGGCGAGATGGTCGGGATTACTTAGATAGAACATCAACTCAGTTTGAGCTGTAGTTTGAGAACCATTGTTCTTCAAAACTTTGACACAAAACATGGTATTAAGTAGAGCTATCCTCTCAGATAGGGAGGGCAGTCCGAGCTCTTTCCTCATGTTTACAATTCTGGTTGATTTTGGGCAACCTAGGATGATGCGCATGGCTTCATTTTGCACTACCTCAAGGCTGTTGAGTTGTTTAGGCGGAATAGTCACAAGATGGAGAGCATGATAGTCAACTACAGAACGAATGAAGTGAAGATAGAAAGTACGAGCATAGGTGATGTTAATTCCATAGCCCTTGCCAACAAGGGTTCTGAGGGGTTTAATGCGCTGCATTAGTTTGTCACGAAGGTTGCTGACAAAGTTTGCATCATTCACACAAATTCCAAGATATTTATAGGAGCTACATAGTTCCAAGGGCATGCTGTTAATGTTATAGTCAAGAGGCAGAGGGTGAGCAGGACGAGGATTGAGGACCCTCGTCTTGTCAACAGATATTATGAGACCACACTCAACAGTTCTCCGAGCAAATAAAATCCAGCATGGCTTGGAGCCTGAGTTTGGTTAGTGTCATAATGCAGATATCATCAGCATAGCATATTACGGCTTCGTTTGGCTGAACTGGAATGTCAGCAATAAGCTTGTGCATCAGTATATTAAAGAGCATAGGACTTAACACTCCTCCCCGAGGCGTGCCAAGCTCAAATGATCTCATTCTGGTACTTTTAACTCCCCTAAACAGAACACTGGCATACCTGTTGGACAGATAACCCTTTATCCATATCAGAAGGTTACCTTGGATGCCAAAATTAGCTAGTTGCTCAAGTATAATGTCTCTATTAGCTACATCAAAGGCTGATTTAAGGTCTATGAAGGCTGTTTGTGTCTTATCTTTTGAGTGAACAAGATATTCTGCAAAGCATGTCTGTGTGCTACGCCCGGGCATGAAGCCGTACAGATTAGGGGCGAGTTTGTCTTTGACTTGAAACATGAGACGGTTTAGAACAACTCTTTCAAAGACTTTACACATACAGGATGTGAGTGAAATTGGCCTGAAGTTTGGAGAATTAGCTTTAGGGATTGGAACTATGTTTCCATGAGTCCATGCCTTAGGCAGAATATCCTGTGTGAGGCTCATTTGATACAGGTCAAGCAGTGGATGGTTAGGGATCTCATTCAACAATCTCAGGGTGTTATAGGTTATGCCATCCTCACCAGGGGAGGATGACTCACCTTTCATTAGTGCTGTTGTTAGTTCTTGGTGCGTTATAGGAAACTGGTCGGTAAGGTCTGGTGAGGAACAGGCTATTTCAATATTGAAACCCCTATTAATGTGTGAGGTGTTAAGATATTGTTGTATGTCAGGAAGCAGGGAAGTGATTTGTGACACACTAGACCATTGGTCTAATAGCATGTCAGCATATTCTGCAGGGCTGTGATGAAGCTGGACTGGGGTGGGTGACTTGGTAATGGCTCTTATTTTGTTCCACACTTCTGCTAGAGTGGTTGTTCTATTAATCCCCTTTAAGAATTGTTCCCAATAGGTGTTTCTCACCTGACCTTTGAGTTCACGAAATTCTCTTTTAGCTTTGAGGAATGCCAAGAGGTTATCACTAGTTTTATTTTGCTTTTAAGTGTTGGCAAGCTGTTTTACATTCTCTCCTTCTTTGGTGAGGATGGGGTCATGTGTCCATTGTTGTGAGGTCGTCGTCCACCATCAGGGAGAGGTCAGCTCCCTGAGGGAGCTCAATGACCCATATCTTTGACAGGATCCTCCTGCACCAAGGGACGTCTTGGAGGTCGTGCTCAGTCTCGAGCAGCTGGTGCCGCAAATTGGCTACCTGTCCAGCATTGATCGTGCACCCGCTCGGTGGCCAGCCGCCACAAGGAGAGCAAGCAGAGAGTCACAAATATAATTTTATTAATCATATTAATACTTGAAGTTAAGTTTTATAATTAATAGTGTGTATATATATATATATATATATATATATATATATATATATATATATATATATATATATATATACGAAGATTGAACAAGAGAAAGTATGGCACGTACATATTATCATTCTTTAATTTGCCTGTGTATATATTTCCTGTATTAGTTATTAGTATTAGCGTTGTTGTGACTCAGCCAAGGTGTTGATGGTATGTGACGCAACCAAGGTGTTGATGGGGAATGTGTGACCCAGCCAAGGTGTTGATGGAATGTGACCCAGCCAAGGTGTTGATGGGAGTGTGTGACCCAGCCAAGGTGTGTTGGATGGTAGGTGACCCAGCCAGTGTTATGGTAGTACGTGACCCAACAAGGTGTTGATGGTAGCGGAGCCAGCCAAGGTGTTGATGGTAGTGTGACCCAGCTAAGGTGTTGATGGTAGTGAGTGACCCAGCCAAGGTGTTGATGGTAGTGCAGATCCAGTTAAGGTGTTGATGGTAGTGTGTGAGCCAGCCAAGGTGTTGATGGTAATATGTGACCCAGCCAAGGTGTTGATGGCAATATGTGACCGAGCCAAGGTGTTGATGGTAGTGTGTGCCCCAGCCAAGGTGTTGATGGTAGTGTGTGCCCCAGCCAAGGTGTTGATGGTAGTGTGTGCCCCAGCCAAGGTGTTGATGGTAGTTTATGACCCAGCCAAGGTGTTGATGGTAGTTTTTTTTTTGCACAGGTCAGCAACCTACATCGGGGTCGGGGAGGCGATGAAAAAAATATATTGAACGATAAATAAATATATAAATGGAAAAAAAATATGTTACAACCCTCTAGTTCCTTTGATCAATTAATCAGGAGGACCCTGAAATATCAGCCTTGGTTAACAGTGAAATACGTAGACTCTGATTACGTACCATAGACCGACCATCACCAAAAAGCTGTTCTCTGCACTTTTCCTGTATCTGGCTGGCAGCAAAGATCATGTCACTGGTGCGACGTAATGTTCTAATCTAAAGGCACATTGTGATTCTGGGGGGAAGTTATCCGCCTCAGGAAGAAGTCTTGTTTAGGAGGACGCCGGTGATAATCTTGCCAGCCACGGACAGCAGCGAAATCCCACTGTAGTTACCACAGTCTGGCCGGTCTCCCTTGTTCTTATAAATAGTGAAGGATGTTGTTATATGTAGTGATGATGGGTGGTGTTATATGTAGTAGTGATGATGGATGGTGTTATAAGTAGTGATGATGGATGGTGTTATATGTAGTGATGATGGATGGTGTTATATGTAGTGATGATGGATGATGTTATATGTAGTGATGATGGGTGGTGTTATATGTAGTGATGATGGGTGGTGTTATATATAGTGATGATGGGTGGTGTTATATATAGTGATGATGGGTGGTGTTATATGTAGCGATGATGGATGATGTTATATGTAGTGATGATGGATGCTGTTATATGTAGTGATGATGGATAGTGTTATGTGTAGTGATGATGGGTGGTGTTATATGTAGTGATGATGGATGTTGTTATATGTAGTGATGGATGGATGATGTTATGGTGATGATGGATGGTGTTATATATAGTGATGATGGATGGTGATATATGTAGTGATGATGGATGATGTTATATGTGGTGATGATGGGTAAGTATATATAGTGATGATGGTGGTGTTATATGTAGATGATGGGTGGTGTTATATATAGTGATGATGGATGATGTTATATGTAGTGATGATGGATGTTGTTATATGTTATATGGGTGGTCCCCTACAATCCTCTTTTGAATAACGCATCCAATGCGCACATCAATGTGGAGTTCAGTAATTCAGTCAAGTCCATCAAGTATGTTTGCAGATACGTCAACAAAGGCACTGACCAAGCGATCTTTGCATTGGAAAAGGATGGAAATCATGCTGAGGTGACACAGTTTCAGCAGGGCCGTTATATATGCAGCAATGAAGCCCTATGGAGAATTTTTAGTTTTCCCATACACGAACGATGTCCAACAGTAGTTCATCTGGCTGTTTACCTGGAAAATGGACAAAGAGTATACTTCACAGAAGAGTCTCTACAAAATCAAATGGCACATCCTGCTGATACGACTCTCACTGCATTCTTTAAGCTTTCACAGGAAGATGAGTTTGCTCAAATACTCCTGTATGTTGAAGTACCCAAGTTCTACATATGGCAGGCTTCAATGAAAAAGTTCAGAGAATAGCTCAAGGAGCCGATGTTGAAGGATATCCAGGGATAAAGTCAGGCAATGCTTTGGGACGTGTCTGCACGGTTCACCCCAACAACTTTGAATGCTATTGTTTGAGACTACTTTTGCACCACATCCGTGGCCCAACATCATATGCAGCACTCAAGACAGTGAATGGACAAGTCTGCAGAACCTATCAGGAAGCGTGCAATCTCCTTGGCCTACTGGAAGATGATGGTCACTGGAATGACACATTAGAAGAGGCAGCAGCTACTCAATCGCCAATGAGAATGAGGAACCTGTTTGCCATCATGATTGCTACATGTGGACTTTCCAACCCAAGTCAGCTCTGGAAAAACCACCAAGAAAGTCTTTTAGAGGATCTGCTTCATCAAGCAAAAAGAGAACATCCTGGTCAAGAGATTGAGTTCATGGATGACATGTTCAACAGGGCTCTGATCATGCTGGAAGACAAAGTGATGGAGCTATGCGGAAAAAACCTGACTGATTTTGGATTGCCTTCCCCAAACCGAGAAAGAACCAGTAGCAGCGTAGGGGTTGCTCAGAGACAGACTACTCAGATGAAGTGCTGGTGAATTTTGTTGAAGAAAATGACCTCACCTGGTGGCTTGTCATGAATAGATCTTGCAAGCTTCAAGCGAGCAGGGAGGGATGATCTTTCTTGATGCACCTGGCGGGACAGGAAAAACATTCTTGATCAACCTTCTGTTGGCCAAACTACGTCATCAGGAAAATTGCTCTTGCTGTGGCATCCTCAGGCATTGCTGCCTTTTCTAGAAGAGGACGTACTGCACACTCAACTTTAAACTGCCTCTCAACCTCCTTCACATGAGGAACCAGTGTGCAGCATCAAAAAGGATCGGCAAAGGCAAAACTCTTTGAAAATGCAGCTCATAGTCTGGGATGAATGCACAATGTCTCACAAGTTAGCGTTTGAAACATTGGAAAGGACCTTGAACATCGGAAAATGACCAGCTCATTGCTGGAGACTTTCGCCAGACCCTACCTGTCATTACTCAAGCACTCCAGCTGATGAACTGAATGCGTGCCTCAAGGTGATCAGGAATGCCCCTACACACCTCACTCTCAAGATTGAAACCCCTATAATGCTCTTAAAAATCTTGAACCACCAATCTTCTGCAATGGCACAAGACTGGTGGTGAAGAACAATGCCGCTGGCTTCTAATACTGACGGAAAAAAGCTAAGGAGGACGTTTTTATACCAAGGATATCTCATCACCACTGACCTGCCATTTGAGTTCAGCAACTTCAGTTCCGGTTAAAGTGAGCTTTTGCAATACCATCTACAAAATCAAGGACAGTCCTGGGTGGTTTACTTAAACCATTGTTTCCTTGCTTGTCTTATGGACGTTCTATGGATGCTCCAGAGTGAAATGGCAAAAGTCTGTACATACTTGCTGCTAATGGGAAACCAATGTGTGGTCTCACCTTAATACTACAGTGAGATACTGTGGACTCCCAGAGACTTCTGTAACTAGTTCAAAAGAGCCTTGGGAGGGTATGATTTCCCTGTAATCGTCATTTATGAGGGAGACCTTCAGACTGTGACTTCATGGATCATTGAGCTTCATCGTTTTTAATGATTATTGTCGTGGGTTCAAGGACTTCTGAGGGGACCTCTGATTCGTGTTCAAGAACATCTATGTATCATTGACGCAGTCTTGCCCAGCAGTACAGGAAGAACTGGAGAAATTGGCTATATGACTGTACATTTAAATGTATTTACTGATATCAGGGACAGCTATCCTTTCTCGTGGGCCTTCCCACACACGGTCAAACACCTTGTTATCTTAACTTTGACTTGGCGGACCAGTACCAACCTCTCTTCCAGTATCCAATCGGGTGAGCACAATTATCAGTGTCTGGTCTGCTGCCACCCTCCAAGTACAGAGACCCTACATCAAGACCTACGAGGATTACTGACTTGCATGCCTCTTTTTGGACAGTGGATGTTCACTATCCTGGACTGAAGTACCAGAGACCCTACATCAATTTCTGGGCCGATTACTGACTCTGCAGTACGCCTCTCTTTGGACAGTGGATAGTTCACTATCCCTGGACTGAAATGCACTCAGCGTGGATGACGTGGAAACCAAATGGATAAATTATACCCAACACCACCGCAAAGCTCACCACCACTTCTTCCCCGAGAAGTCCGTCAGATCTCACCCAGCTGACTTGCCCTGGATCACACCTCGGATCAAAAGACTTATGCAACAGAAGAGACAGAGCCTTTCATCTCAGCCAGCCACATCCGCTGGTCCACTCCGCCAACAGAGTCATCCGCCGTCGCACTGCAAAAGAAGTCCCACTACTTAGCAAATTACAACACCTGAAGCAGACCAACATCAGTCAATGGTATGGTAAGCAAGAACTCTGTGGACTAAACAATATGACACATCCTCCTTCCTCCAGCCATCCTCACTAATGTTGACGCAGCTGAGCAAACAAATAACACCATTTTGCTTTACTATATGCTGCCCAGACGCTCCACGGCTTGACACAACCACTCTCCTGTACCTACCAGCCCCCTTCCACTGACTTAGTAGAGGTGACGTAGCAAAACGCCTGGACAAACTAAAATTAAAACGCTCTACCACCCCCCATTGACTTACCGTGAAACTATTAAGGAGTTCTCCCCGGGCACTAAACCCTCTGCTCCATCATCAATGCTTCTCTCAGTCGAAGCCAGATGCCCAGCTGACTGGAAGACCTCTTATGTCACCAGTGCCCAAGTCAGCAGCCCACAATCCTTAAATCGCTACGACCCTATTGCAATCGCACCCAATACCCAGCCCTAATCTGTGAAAGTTTTGTGTTTGACAGGGCTTATGCTGATATTGCAGGAGTCGTAGACCCTCAACAATTGGCAACATAAAGCTTCCTCCACCACTCACTGTCTTGTCAGCTTTCTCGATTACATATACCGCCATCTCGAGAGCGAAAAACGTCTAGCCAGCTGTCACCTTCATTGATTTCACTAAAGCGTTCGACCTAGTCGACCACAATATAATCATAAACAAAGCTATTGACCTCGGGCTTCGGAGAAATCTCATACCATGGCTTACAGACTTCCTCAGTGACCGACGCCAAGGTGTATGCGCTTCCGAGGGGCTGTCTCCACCTTTCAGTCACTCACCTGTGGCGTCCCCAAGAACACCAGATGGGACCACTCTGCTTCCTTGTGCTCCATCAATGATGCCCTAAAGAGAAACCCCTGCTCGCTGGAAATGTGTCGACAGGCTCACCATTGGGATCAGCGTCAACAGATTCTGCTCCCAGCTATACCGCCGCACAAAGTTTTATTGAACAGTCTCCACTTCAGGCCACCAACAACCATGTCTGCATCAACCTTTTAAGACCATGGTTATGCACATCAACCTCTCCTCCGACATTGTCCACACTCCCTCCATTACACAAATTCAAAGGCACTTCCAGGTTGTAGATTCACAGCTCCTCGGCGTCACCATAGACAACAAACTAAGTGGAAACCACACGTCCAGTGAGGGTTTGTCCAAATCCTCCGGTTCCATCCTCTCCTCATGACTCCAGTCCTCAACGAGTTCCGCTGGCTCCTCAGTGTATACACAACTTCACTTCCCAAGCTCACCTATGCCTCCCCACCTGGTCTTCCCTCTCTAAATGCCACACAACATGCTTACCTAGAAAAAGTGCAAAGAGGGCATGCAAAGTTACTTCCTCTCTAAGTGCCACTGGCATGGCACACCTAGAAAAGTGCAAAGGGCATGCAAGATTATTCTCTCCCTTCCTACCACACATATCAAGCGCTCAACACCCTTTCGACTCTACTGACCATCGCACATCATCTGCAAGTTGGCTTCTACCATCCCCCATTTCACTACCACCTGAGATCTGTCAAAATTGTGTTCATTACCTTACACATCCAGCCCATCATTTAGACTAATATAATAGAACAGCCCAGTCCAACCATTGTAAAATTATCAATAATCTGATTAAGTGTATTCCTCCCAGTAAACACTGCTCCTACACTGTCACTATGTTGAAATAGAGCTGTAGTTTGAGCTGATCCCCATCTAAATTACTATATGTCTTTTTGTGTCACTTATGTCCTTGTATATTTTATTTGTAATTCACATTCTTAAATATGTAACTGTATATTTTCAGCCTTCTGGCTGCCAGCTCTTTCAATAAGCAGTTAATTGTTATTATTATTGTTTTATTACATAGCTGTCGACTAACAGGCCTTCGACCGAGGTAACCCGAAGCCCTCTGGTGGACCCTCAGCGTTTTTTAGCTTGCCCTGCAAATTCATCGCCTCTTCCGCACCGCCAGCAGACAGCGGTGTCTGCACAACAGGACCGGTCAATTCTTTCCCCAGCAAATGGGGTAAAACAGAATGTGTTACTGCCGCAACTTTCTTTTCCATTTTCTTAGCTGCTTTAGCCTCGTGCCAGTGCCAATTCGGCCGGTGGGTGGACATCAGTACCAGGATGAAGGAATTGTGCGCAACCACAGAACGACTCCAAGCAGGAACAAAAGGTGTCGGCGGCTTCCATCACTGAGGAAATTATTCTGCACCTCACTATATCGCTCACACTAGACGCGACCTCCAGGAGATACTGAACACTTGCAGATGCGTCACACTTCACTTTGGCCTTGAGATAAATGTACACTGCAGACTCAGATTTTCTTTCAAACTACCCTGGTTCAGCACATCTACCTGCATCCATCCAGCTTAACGGTACCCGCCCTCTCTAATGTTACCGCACCAAGTATCGGCTCACCTGTCCGCAATGCGGACATCGTGAAGATTCAAAATCGGATCAGATGAAACACCAAGCCTTCGCTTAGACACCATACCCTCTCTTCTGCTGGCAGAGGCTAAAATTATATCTGGCATATCGAGAGGAGGTCCTCCTCACCGTGCTTCTATATGGCGAGACATGGGTCATACAGGAGAACACCTCAAAACGCCAGCTTTCACCAATGTGATCTATATTTCCATGCCTCTACAGGTTCGCTGGGAGAGACAAGAGAATAAATGCCAGTATTCTTGCTGACACCAACTGTGAAGACATTGAAGGCTACGTATCCATGAACAACCAATGGATTGGCTGTTACCCGCATGGACGTCAATGGAGCTGCAAAAGTTGCTATAGTCGCCTAATGGGCTAGTAAATACTATAATAACGATAGCGAGCAATTGAAAAGGTAGGATTTTCTCTCAAGTAAGCCTGAAAGATTCCGTCGAAACCCTTCACCTGGGAGACAAAATTGCTCCACCGTAACTGGGAGGAGCACCACACAAGTGTTAATGTTTTTAAATTTATTGCGACTGCGGCAGAGCAGACAAGCTCCAGCGCAGGAAGGTGTTGTTACTGACCCTTCCGCACTAGATGTAGCCCTCCATGCGATAAACCCTGCGATCCCCATAACAACCTCTTTAGTCACGCAGAATTCCACCAACGTAGGTGACATCATTCCTGCTCCTGCTGCATACTGGCTGGATGATCCGTCGCCTGCTCGATTCAGTGACCTTAAAGTAATGGCCGTCAGCCGGCTGTGTATTATTATTATTGTGCGCGCGCGCGTATGTAGTAAATGGGGAGTCTCTTAGCTACATCATTCCTCACCGGTGAAGCCAGGTAGCAGTAGTCTACCAGGTCACCATTGATTGTATTTTAATGACCTGTTATGACCTGTCTGGCGTGACCCTGCAGAATAAAATGGTTCTGTGAGAACCATACTGAGAACCACATTGGTCAGCTTAAGAGACATTAAAATATATCATCTTGGTAGGAATATTATATCCATTCTCTGAGCTTTACGTTGGTTATTAAGTGTAGCGGCGTCAGAATATAGTTCATCTTGGTAAAAAAAAAAAAGTTCGCAATACTGGGAATTTTGTTTTGTCACCTGGGTTGCTGAACGTAGCGGCATCAAAGATAAATTTGGCACACTGGAAAAAAAAAAGTATTTTCATTTCTTTTCCCACCCGGGTTGAATTGCATTGAATTGAAAAAGTTTATTTAGCCAGAAAAACACAGATACAGAGTGAATAGCAATAACAATATTAACATGGCTGAGCCAGTTGAGAAACTGAGCTCTCTTTTAGGCACCTCATATATACTATACATTTATCTCAAGGAAGTATTATGTAACATTTAGTATCATTTGGAATAGTACAATAGCGGAGTCTTCCTCGTTAAGAGAGTAGGAAAGTAAAGTGTTTGTTTGTTTTTTAAAGCCCGCGTGTTGTTCACTATTTGTGGTGTTGAGGGAGAGTAGCGAGATGGGAGAGGAGGAGGAAAGGGGGAGGGAGGAGAGAGGAGGTGGGCAGGGGGGGTGGGAGGAGGAGGAAAGGAAGAAAGGTCGTCGGTGGTCATTACGGCCAGCATCTCTAACACCAACATCTCCTCAACGTTAACATCTCCCTCAACACCAACATCTCCCTCAAGTCTCCTCACACCAACATCTTCGTCAACACCAACATCTCCATCGACGCCAACATCTCCATCGATGCCAACATCTCCCTCAACGCCAACGTCTCCCTCAACACCAACATCTTCGTCAAACAACATCCCCAACACCAACGTCTCCCTCAACACCAACATCTCCTCAACACCAACATATTCGTCAACACCAACATCTCCCTCAACACCAACATCTCCCTCAACACCAACATATTCGTCCCAACACCAACGTCTCCCTCAACACCAACATCTCCTCAACACCAACATCTTCGTCAACACCAACTTCTCCCTCAACACCAACGTCTCCCTCAACACCAACGTCTCCCTCAACACCAACATCTCCCTCAACACCAACGTCTCCTCACACCAACATCTCCATCGACGCCAACATCTCCATCGACGCCAACATCTCCCTCAACGCCAACGTCTAGAAGTCAACACCAATATCTCCCTCAACACCAACATCTTCGTCAACACCAACATCTCCTCAACACCAACGTCTCCCTCAACACCAACATCTCCCCAACACCATCATCTCCCTCAACACCAACGTCTCCTCAACACCAACGTCTCCCCTCAACGCCAACGTCTCCCTCAACCAACGTCTCCCTCAACCCCTCTCAACACCAACGTCTCCTCAACGCCAACATCTTCGTCAACACCAACGTCTCCCTCAACACCAACGTCTCCCTCTCCCTGACACCAACGTCTCCCTCAACAAACACCAACACCAACGTCTCCCTCAACGCCAACATCTTCAACCACCAACGTCTCCCTCACCCCTCTCCCAACACCAACATCTCCCTCCAACACCAACATCTCCCTCACCAACGTCTCCTCAACACCAACATCTCCCTCAACAAACAACATCTCTCCCTCAACAACATCTCCCTCAACACCAACATCTCCCTCAACACCAACATCTCCCTCAACACCAACATCTTTAACGTCTCCTCAACCAACATCTCCTCCAACACAACAACACCAACATCTCCTCAACACCAACATCTCCCTCAACACCAACATCTCCCTCAACACCAACATCTCCCTCAACACGTCAACATCTCCCTCAACCAAATCTCCCCAACACCAACGTCTCCCTCAACGTCAACATCTCCCTCAACGTCAACATCTCCCTCAACGTCAACATCTCCCTCAAACATCCAACATCTCCCTCAACACCACCTCCCTCAACGTCTCCCTCCAACACCAACGTCTCCCTCAACACCAACGTCTCCTCAACGTCTCAACGCCAACGTCTCAACGCCAACGTCTCCCTCAACGCCAACGTCTCCCCATCGCCAACGTCTCCCCAACGCCAACGTCTCCCTCAACACCAACATCTCTCTCAACACCAACATCTCTCAACGCCAACGTCTCCCTCAACACCAACGTCTCCCTCAACACCAACATCTCCCTCCAACGTCAACATCTCCCTCAACACCAAATCTCCCTCAACACCAACGTCTCCCTCAACGTCAACATCTCCTCCAACGTCAACATCTCAACATCTCCTCAACACCAACGTCTCAACATCTCTCAACGCCAACGTCTCATCTCTCCCTCAACACCAACGTCTCCCTCAACACCAACGTCTCCCTCAACACCAACGTCTCCCTCAACACCAACATCTCCCTCAACGCCAACATCTCCCTCAACGCCAACGTCTCCCTCAACGCCAACATCTCCCTCAACGCCAACATCTCCCTCAACGCCAAAGCTCTTTTCCGACCACAACACAATTGTCACACTCTTTTGTCCTGGACTCCCCACCCCCCTTTCGTTCATCTCCTCCTGTCCTACTTATGATCATTTTCTAATTCTCTTCCTTCTTATCTCCCTCTTTCGTTCAACATCCTTTTCTTTTACTTCCTTCTGCCGCCTCCTTCCCCTCCTTTTTTCGTCCATCTTTTTTCCTTTTCTTCTTTTTTTCTCTCCTTCCTCCACTCTTTTCTTTTTGCAATTTTCCTTCCTTCTCCTTCTCTTCCTCTCCCCCTTCAAACCTTTTCCCGTTCCTTCTTGTTCTCCTTCTCCTGCTGCTCTCTCTTCTTCAAAGCACCTTCTCAATCCTTCATTCGTTCTTTCCTTCCAATTTATTTTCCTTCTTCATCTTGTTTCTTGAATTCCATCTACTCACCAACCCAACTCCTCTTCTGTCCATTTTCCCCACTGCCCAATCCTTCTTTCCCTCCCTCCCTTCCTCCTCAACCTAACCTGTCACAATCTACCTCCTCTTTCCTTCCTGTCATACTATACCTCCTCTTCCTTCTTTCCCTCCCCACCTCTTCTTCTTTCCCTCCCCTACCCCCTCTTTCTTTCCTCCTTCCTTAACCTCCCAGCCATACTCTGCCTCCTCTTCCGGCTGTATTGCACTTTAAAGAATCCTCTCTCTCTCTCTCTCTCTCTCTCTCTCTCTCATACACACACACACACACATTACCTTAATCTTCTCCCTTTGTGGAATAAATTTGTAATAGATAAGACGATATTAAATCACTCGCCTCAAGATGGTGGCCGCTGGGTTGGGTTTCCTCCAAGGAATTATTTTCCCTCGCACTTTCTACTGAAAACTTCCCTTGGCGGGCTTTACCGTAATTGACTCCCGGTATTTCCCTCTACGAATGTGAGTTTAAATTAACTTCTTCTCTGTATCAAATATGGTGACGGTAATTTGTTAAAGATGATGTACTGGTCGAGATTCCCAATGGACGACTCATTTGTGCTTGATGGTGGGTGGGTGGATGTGTTTTGTGTGTGTGTGTGTGTGTGTGTGTGTGTGTGTGTGTGTGTGTGTGTGTGTGTGAGTGTGTGTGTTAAGAACACAGACACTGCACTATTACACCTTTGGTAATTCCATAAATTTTTTCAGTTTATTAATTCAGACATTAACTTGCAGGAACAGGTAAGAGAATCCGTAAAGAGAATTAAATATTACAATTCTTGGATTCAATTGAAGATTAATCAAATCTAACCTAACCTAACCTAACCTAACTTAAATTCTTCAGGGAACACTTGAGCGGTTAATCTTCATGTGAAATAAGCTGGTGGGAGGTGGAGGGGTCTTCAAGTAATCCTCCGTCTTTGACTTCTTTCCTCCCACGGCACGGGGTGGCCGAGGTGAAGAACGACGAAGATTCTCCCTCATTCCTTTTTTTCCAACCGTGTGTTCTGCTGCTGGTCAAAACACAACTGCTGATATCATAACACAACGCCTACAAGTCACCACGAGCGCCTAACGTCCTCTTCTCTCTACCACAGGAGTGTCAAACATAAGGCCTGTCGAACGCTTTCCTCCGAACCGCATCATTTTGTGCCGAAAAAATGTCTGTCTGTCTATCTATCTATCTATCTATCTATCTATCTATCTATATATCTATCTATCTATCTATCTATCTATCTATTTATCTGTCTATCTGCCTATCCGATTGTTTAGTCACTTCCTGCACAATCTTCCCACGCCTTTTATTGAACAGCATGGTAAGAGTTCAGCATCCGGGGTCAGTCACTGGGCAGTCAGCTAAAATGGGAGAGTTGCAAACAGATGTATTGTATTGGGAATTCTTCCCCCAAACACTCATCCTGTCACTATATGTAACTTATCGACATAATCCATGGCCCTTCAGGTACTTTAGCCCTGAAATGCATGAATCGAGAAGGCAAACATGAACTCCGCAGGCTTCCCTGTTGAGCGCTGTAAACGCTTTTGCGCTTTTCCTTGCACAGGATCCAAGGGTGCCCAATAAACTAGTACCCTCTAACGTGAAAACCTGAAGCCATGTGATGTGACTTATTGATTAACTGATTGGTATTTAGTCAGCAAAATCATCATATAAGTTTACGATCGGTTTGGTATGTATACTGACAATGCAAGTATGAAGTTCAACACTCATAATTATAGGCAACGCAGGTATACAGTACAGGTACACAAACAATGGTAAACAGTAAGGACATTTTGACCAATGATTCCCAGCAAAGCCACCAGACGCTTGGTTAATAAGCTGTGACAGTAAATATACAAGAATAAAAGTGTAGAGAGCTGCTGTACTCAAAAGGCTCAGTCATGTCAATATTATTGTTGTTGTTCTCATAGTTTCTGTAATATTCTGGCTAAATTCTCAAATTCCCCTCAAACACCTCTCCCACCCCCTTTTCTCTCCCTCCACCTCCTTCGTCCCCTCACCAGGGTCGAGGGTCAAGGGACCTCATTCCCCTCTCGGCAGCCAGCCCCACATAGGGGACAGTGTGACCCTGTTCTCTCTACCACCACCCGCTCTGCCTCTAACAACACCACCACTACTACCCGCCAAGCCTCTGCCAACACTACACCACCAATACCTGTCATTTTGGCCTCCATCAATGCTTCCAACTAATACCTGCCCACCTCTATCACCAACACTACCTGCCCACACCTCTATCACCAACACTACCACCACCATCCACTCTGCCTCTACCACAACCACTAACACCAACAATACCCGCCAGCCAGCACTACCCACCCAGCCTCTATCACCAACACTACCACCAACAGTCCAACTATCACTTACCGACTCAAAACCTCCAAACCACTTCCTACTTCCCCCCTACCTCTCATCTCCCCCCTACCGCTCATTCTTTCCTCTCCTCCCCTCCCTATCCTCTCACATCTCCTCTCCCCTAATCTGTAACCTATAGCCCTTAATATATCCTCCCTCCTTCCTCACATCTCTCCTCCCTTCTCCCTACCCTCTCATCTCTCCCTCCCCTCCCCTCCTCTCGTCCTCCCCTCTCATCTCCTCCCCTCCCCTCTCTCTCTCCTCCCTCCCCTCTCATCTCCTCCTTCCTCCCCTACCTCCCCCTCCCCTCCCTTCCTCCACCTTCTCATCTCTCCTCCCTTCTCCCTCCCCTCCCATCCCTCCTCCCCTCCCCTACCTCTCCCCTCCTGTCTCTCCTCCTCCCCTCTCATCTCTCCTTCCCCCTGTCCTCTCCTACCCTCATCTCTCTCCCCAACCTCACCTCTCTCCCTCTCATCTCTCTCCCTTCCCTCCCCCACCCTCACCTCCTCTTCCCTCCCTCTCCTCCCCTCCCCTCTCATCTCTCCTCCCCATCCCTCCCATACCACCCCAAAGTTCAGTCATGTAGCAGACCTTCAATCCCGTCCGCCCATCATCCAAGTAAACAGGCATGACCTCCGTATCCTTCTCTGTTGGCCGCTGTACTTCTCCTCTCTGCCTGACACAACGACGTGAAGAGGTGCAACTATGAGACTGCTGACATGACTGGGTGTTTTGAGTGTTGCTGTAGCTATTTTGAAGGTACCTGATAAATAATCTAAAGAAAATGATGCTTACACTTTATTCTAAACTGCTGGTCAAGATTGATATTTCAAATTTGTTAAGGATAATATCTCTCTGCCCTGTGTGGCGGTAATCAGTAACTTTCTCTTTTCATCCTTCACTCCCTATCCTTCCTTCATACATTTCATCCTTCTTTCCCTCTCCTTCCTTTCCTCTTTCTCTCCCTATCCTTTCTTTTATCCTTCTCTCCCTCGCCTTCCTTTCCTCTTTCCCTCCCTATCCTTTATTTCATCCTTCTCTTCCCAATATTCCTTTCTCCCTTGCCTTCCCTCTCTTCCTATTCCTCTCCTTACCCACACTCCTCCTCTCTCTACCTCCCATAATCACCCTCTCACAGTTTTTGACGGTTGTTCAATTAAGTTAATAC